GCTCTCAGAAATGAAGCATCATTAAACTGATGGAAAAAATGAAGATCTACCTTCAGGTGGCACATAGAGTTTTGTTTTTATGTAAGAGATATCTCCATGTAGAAAAAAAAACCTTGATTTACTGTATAAAGTTGTATAGTTGTTTATTGCATTTCAGGTGCTATATCTGATACGTATACTCTTTTTGTATCCCTCGGTATATTGAGGATATTTTGTGGTACAGGAAGGACACATCTTGATGGAGGAAGGGGCACAGTCCTCCACTCTCTGTCCTGAGATGCCACACTTATTAATGTACTTTGACATCAGATTGAAGCAACAGAAAATGAATTTCTGTTTTTATCCAGGACTGTATTGTTCTCTTCATGAAAGTGGGTCAATTCAGGAGTGAATAGATCTCCTAAGGTGTTCTTCAGTGGATTAGAAAGAGTCAGGGGCAGCAGTGAGTAAATCTAGAATTTTTTTCTAATCTTTTCCACTTGCTATAATGCTGGATGTGAACTTTAAAGTCTAATAAACATTCCTGGCCGTGTAACCTTGGGCAAGTTACCTGGCCACTCTGAGACTCAGATATACTTTTTGTAAAACAGAATGTAGTAGATACATTTTAGTTTAAATCAGAAATTTCTTGACCTCATAGAGGTAACTAGCAAAGGTAGAGATTTTGCTCACACTTAAAAAGTGGCTTTACATTATAGATTTGCTGGGGAAGGATTAAAACATGAAAAAGTCAATTTTCTTAAGATAGGTCAATATGGATTGGTAAACCTCTTAGATGTTTTTAAAGTAAGAGTTTCTCTCCCTTTCCTTTATTGGAGTATTTGATTTATTCTTCAGGATTGAACAGGCAGCTATGTCCTAATGTTCATTCAATTTTAGGATAATCACAAAGGTTTCATGAATGTGAAATGCTAGTTACACAAATATGAAATGGATCTGTGATGAGGATACTGGGTACACGATATAACACTCCCAAAGGCATTTCACCTGGGACTTTGGCTTTCCTTCTAGAACATCAGCAAACAGTTTAAAATTAATGTAACATACCATGCAATTTGCCATATCGCTACAGTAGCCTGATAATATTTTTTCTCATTATATAAAAACTAATTAGTTAAAGGGCAATTCAAATGAAACTTTTATTTGGGGGATTTGGAAGTATTAAGGCAAAAGGGAAAAAGAAAGCAAACATACACAGCAGCTCTCTGGATAGTATGAACAAGATTATTAATAACCCTTGGGTAGGAAAATGATTAACCTTGTTGTTTTCTTCACAATCCAGGTTTCACGATAAGTAAATCGATATTGCACAAAAATATTTAGATGCTGTATGGAAAACAACTTTTACAAGGTCTCCAACTGGCATCAATGTTTTCAAGTATGAAAACATCTCTGGGCTTTCTCAATAGGGTGATGGATCCCTGCAGGTAGCATTTCCCTTGTTTAATAGTCCTGCCAATTAAATCAAATTAGAGATGAATTTTTAACTCTGTGATGAAGGCAATGCTCATTATAAGAGAAAACAGGAAAATGCAATGTTTCCCTTAAGTGAATTATTTCAAATTGAATAAAAGTTTGTGGAGGGGGAGGGAAGGCAAAACAACTTTATTGATATTCTATGCCTTATATACAACCATGTCAGTCATTTGAAAGTAATTTAAAGGCATAATCTGTAGACAAGGTCACAACATGCTTGTACTTATCATTTTCTTCTATTAGTATTCTAAGACATTTTTATTTAAAAATTTCAAGTTTATAAATATGGCCTTTCTTGATGTGATTTTTCAATACATGGATGGTTCACCTTTTACTTCTGACTCATGTGTCATCTGCTTTTGTAAGAAGTAATAATCACCCCTACAAAGCTATTTGTACATTAAGCCAATTCTCTCTAGCCTAATTATACTATTTATAATAAATTGTTTAACATAATTAGTAAATCATTTGCTTTGCAGTACTAAATATCAGATAATATATGTTAGAAGGCAATGATTAGTTTATCACTTTAATGCAAACACCCACAACAAGCCAACTATTAATTTGTATCATCAGCCTCAACAAATGTTCATTTAAATAAAATTGTGAATGTTTACTTGTAAGTACACTTTATTTAAAAGTGAAATTGAATAAATTGCTACGATGACAAGTAAGGTAAAAACAGATTATAAGGCTCAAATGGCTATAGATCTATTTTGGGAGTCATTAATTGCTGACAGTATCACCAGTATTTTTTCAGCTATGGTCAAAACACACCAGAAGGACTGTGTTTTAAATTAAGTATCCTTGAGATGTTTGGGAAACCTACTTCTTAGTAGATAAACGACAGCAAATACAAATGATCTTAATGGGAAATTTGTTTCAAAAATATTTTTAGCAGATGATCGGAAAGGATGACAATTCTGTCCATGCATTTGAACTTAATAGAAGGTGTTGACAATTAATTTGAGATCTATACTGAACTCTATCAGGGCTCTAAAACCTTTAGTCATTGTGTATAAAGTTTATGTATGCAAAATTGTGGTTACATACAGCAAAGATTTACATTGATAATATACATCATTTATTTTCCTTCAGGTACACTTTGATTATTAGAGTTTCATGGGTGTCACTCATTACAGTGGTATCTTCCTGTATAGCTGGTGGAATTATATTCATTGATTCCTTCTTTGGGGTAAAGAGGAAAGCCCTAGAAAACACCCAAACTTAGTTAAAAAGCATCTTCCTCTTCTCTGACTTGCACCTTGAAAGCATCCCCTCTTCCTGTGCCCTCTAAGAACAGACGATGAATCATCTATGTGTGAATTCATGCCCTTTAGAGAGGAAAGGAATCCATAAGTGCATCCAACAAGCACCTTATAAACCCACAAAGAAGGAACGTCCGAATGCCATTACAGCAGCCTAGAAGATACAATCATATTTGATGGCTTTGTCAGAAATCTCTTTACCTTAAAAGCCAGGCAACAAGCAAGCTAGTCATGTGTGATATTGGGTGACCCCTGGAAGCTTGTGCAAACTGCTTGCTGGGAACCAGAGAAAATCCTTTTGCACTCCAAGCACAACAGCCAGAGGTACACTGAAGGCAGAGTACAAACTATCACTTTTTGTCTGAGGGTTTTTTTCCCCCACAGGTATTAGGAATTAAATTTTCCTAGGTTCCTGATAATAAAAATGAATACATTTTCCAAAGGCACAATAAAGCATCCTTTCAGGTCACCACTGATTTGAAAAGAAAACAAAGCAAAACAAAACTGGAATTTTCCATTTCATTGTGTAAAAGGTCAACATCTGCTGATGCTCAGAGATGGGGATGTGGTGGAGAAGGCCAGATGAAATGTGGAGTGAGCAGTACAGTCAGAGAGTGCATGCAACACACAATTGGCACTCAGAACAGAAACACACTTCAGCGCCAGAGAACGACTTTTCCATCCATCCATTTCTGAAATTTTTGACAGAAAAGATCACCATAGTTGCCTCAGTAATCTGTCACAGCCTGATTCTATTTGGTTTCCTTCTGCTTTAAAATGCATGTACAAATGCAATTGTCAAGGCCTGAAAGGAGCACATTGTGGGCTATCTGTACAACTAAAGCAAATGCCAAGGGAGGTATTGCTGCAGAAAAATTAGACTATTGAAATGGAAAGTTTTCATTTGTAAGTTTGTGGCACAGATACCATTTCAGTAAGAGCACAAAACAAATTCTGTAGCACTAGGCTGGTATTGAAATGATTGTGAAAACTACTTCTCTTTACAAAGTGACTGATTTTCACGGCATTTAACAGGTCTGAAGTTGAAGAAATCAGCATCTGGCCTATTCACAAGCTGAAGTAGAATGGGGTTGATTTATAAATTGAAAGACCTGACTGTGCATTTATAAGAAGCAGGGAGTTGTTTTATACAAATTAGCAGAATATTGGTTTTTTAGCTGGATCTTACATTTGTTGGTGCTTCAAGTGCTGCTATTTACACTGAGTTCATTCTATCTGGCACAGTGTTCATGGACTTAAGGCTTTCAGGGATGACACAGTGGAGACAATTCTCTTTGCTTAAGTGCAGAATAGGAGCTTTCTTAAAAAATATATTTCTGATCATTTGCTTAGCAGTTGTTCTAAGGTTTTAATCATTTGAGATAAAGAAGGCAATATGTAACTCCTGTTCTGAAAAGTTATTGAGCATGTGTTTTTTTTATGTACCTTCAGGCTTGGTGTTGACATGCCATTGGCTTATGTGGGAAGACAGAGCTGTTGTCTGGGGTCTCCAATGGAAGCTGGAGACTGTTATTTGCTCTTTGCAGTGATATTGGAGGAGCATCACATAGAGAAGTAAGGACAGATGCCATTTCAATTGCTTAGATTTCTGTTAACTGATTTCTTGCAGAATTTCTCATACTCTGACTCCTAAATTCCCCATGCATTTGTATACACATTTTCTAACAAATTTAAGCCTAAACGCACAGAAACACATGGGTCACTGTGTTTAAGGAAAAAATGGGCGTAGTAGATATCCTTTTCTGTCATTACTCCCAAAAGACAAATGATCATAAACCTGCCTCTTTCAGGCCTTCACAAACCGTAGAATTTAATTTATTAACAAAAATTCTCTAATGAATTTCCTAAGAAATTCTTTGACATTTGTTCTGCTCTTCCCAATTACGTGAGAAATCCACGTCCAGCCCTGCAGAAACAGTCCAATTTCTATGTAGGTTATTTAGATGTATGAATAGGACCGTATATACTTTTGCTTATTAAGGCAGAGGCAGAGTGGACTTCACTGATATAAAGAAGTCAGGAAAGTTGTGGCACTGCCATATCCACAGAAAAAATTTTCATAAATAACTATTCTGTCCATACATTCACCATTTCTATGCAGAAAAACAATGGAAAGCATGAAATTCACAAAGAAAATGGTCTTTACATCAGAAATGGACACTGGAAAAACAGATCTGTGGAGCTGAACAACACAAAGCTAGCCTAGACTTGGTTTGGTGATGTTTTTTTACTTACTACCAATACTGGAAATACTGGGAATACCTGCAGAGAAAGAAAACAACAAAGAAAAGCTGTTAGCTTTCTTGCTTTTATCACATGACATCTTTTACTTAAAAATTTCAGAAATTAAAACAAAATTCATATATATATGCTATATATGAAACCATCGAAACCATTTTGATTTTATTTTTTAACTCTTGAGTTCATCATATTTTAGAAGTTAATTAATGTTCAACTACACTAATTTGTATAAGAAAGCCTTGTGACATCATATATTTTGTGTCTGCCCATAAGGCTGATGAACATTTGCAATGTGATCCAAAACAGATATTGAGATATAATAAGCACTGTGTATTGAGGTATTATGCATTGCATATACCTATGCAAATATATCCATACATGCAATAGATCTTTTTAAATGCATTATAAAATATATATGTTAGATGTTGAAAATCATTTGGTACTTCATTTGATTAATTTCTCATAACCATCATTTTTATTTCTCTTCTACTTGTCAGATATGTGGATTAAACTCTGTAATAGAAACTTAATTGAGCAGAATAATTCAAGAATGCATTAGATTCTTCACATTGATCATGGACTTCATTGATTTTTTTTCAGCTTTCTCTTTAATTTACAAACTGTGCTAAAGTAGTGGAACCATTTCAAAATGAGGCCTTAGTATGAATGTGGAAACTCATTTAGTCTGCATACAGATTAAAATTCCTGGTCAAGCAAAACAATGTTGTTCTCATATCTAGTGGCTCAGGAGCTAGCCGGGTGAGTTTCAAGAGTAGGTCTGACTCCTGAATTCTCACCAACTGTTTGACTCTGGGACAAGTTGCTTATGACTTCAGTTACTCGGGCTTTTCATCTGTTTGGATTGTTGAGGAGATTGTATAACTTGATAGATGGAAAGCACTCAGATCATTGCTTTACTCAGATGATTGCTTCACAGATCATCCTTGCACTGATTACTACTATTGTTACAGTGAAGTCATCACTGTGATAGATCTTGCTAATTAAAAGTCAGAAATTTATATTCTCACCACTAAATTTGGGTGGTGGTGTGAGAACATAGATGGAAATCAAATGAGAGACACACACATACACACAGAGAGAAGGGGGGGGGGCTGCTGCTGACTTGTTGGATGATTTTAGCCTTGCTCTTAGCTTCTCTAAGCCTGTTTCTTCATCCAAAAGGAGGGCAATAATGTCTACTGCACAGGCTGCTGTGAGGATAGAGTAAAATGATCTATAAACACGTCTGACACATAGTGTTTAGCCCATAAGCGATAGCTTTTAATGGATTGTTCAGACTTGTTTTCCACATCATTGAAATGTGTTAACAGGTGGTGGCTCTAAGAGTCCTTGAACTTCTATTTTAGTGTTTATGTTCAAACAGCTGCTCTCTGCTTACTTTAACTATTCATTGTACCTTGCTCAGATATTTCCAGACATACTTATGTCTGAATGGAGAGAAAAGACTGAAGAATAAAAACTTACTATGATTTACTATGATTTTTTTAAATCCTGAAGGAATGCAATATTATTTTTACTATTATATACGTTAAAAATCTCTTGATTTTAGATACTCAGAGGTTATAATGCTTTAACTGCTGCTTTCTTATCCACTTAAACTGGAAAGCTAAATTGCTATTTCTACATTGTAACTATATCCTATGAATTGAATTTCAAGCACCACACTATTTCTTCAAAGAATGGCTAGGTTCCTGACCTGACGCCTCAGTAGACTGTCTTTGCCTCAGCAACAGAGTAACATTAAGTTGGTACTGAATCTTTTTTTTTCCTTTGCAAATTCCCTGTAGATAAAGTAATACATACTATGGCAGCATCATAATTTTAGTATCAGTTGCAGAAGTTTCAAATTTCCCCATGATTGACAATCCTGTTCCATTGCAAGGAGCTGCTTCCCTGTTTTAATCCATCAAAGAGAATGGAAGTTAACATGGCAGGAAGAGAATTTTCATGTGTTTTCAAACTTCCCTGGAGTCAGAGGCCTTGCATAATGCAAGGTAAAGTTCTCAGGGTTTTTGGCTAGACAGGATGGAAAGTAACCTTGTAAGGCTGTTTGGTACAGCACTTGCTACTGTTGAATACTTTAGAAAGATGTAGAAATATTTCCATTCCTTTGGGTGTACCAGTGCAGGAGAGTCATGTTCATTTCAAGTATGCACACGGTGCCAAACAAAGGCTATTCTGAGATCCTATTTTTCCTTATGAAGATGTTATTACCTAACATTGGATGCTTAAAATTCAGGTTCTCCTCATTTTGTGGCTTACAATTTTTTGAGGCTCTGCCAGATGAGTCACTTTTCTATTCCACTGCTGTAAAATGAGAATTGCTTAGAAAAGATTTTTAAACTGTTCATTTGAATAAAGAGTTTTGAAGTTGAAAATAACTGAAAGCCAATGGATGTACACAGTGCATTTTCAAAGGGTACTTTTCCTCTAATAGTTCTTACTTTTATGTCCAAATATCTTGCTTTTGCTTCTCTACAGACAACTAAAGAATTTAGTGAACCCATCAGATTCATTAAAAGACTACAAGTGAGCTAAGAAGAATCCTTCAGATACTCAAGGAAATAGACGAGAAGGCCTAGAAATGAATTGCAGCAATTCATTTCATAAAATGTAAGGGATCTTTAGGATCTGTATGAAATGAACCAATAAATGTGACTCCATTTTAAAAGAAAGACTGCAGCCAGAGCGATGGGAATGAGTCAGAGCGTGCTCAGGAAAATTGTCTAGGCACATGTTGGCAGTTTTTAAACATGCCCTGTGAAGTGACAACTATTATGTAAAAAGTATTTTTACCTTTAAAGCTGAACTCCGAAGTTATTTCTTTCTTCTCCATGTCCCTAATGTGAGTTAACAGCCCTATCTTTTTTAATCCAACAGTTCTTGGCAAAGGCCCCAAGATCTATGCATCAATTTATTTCTATTGTTTTGTGAGAGCACTGAGAGGACACGCCCATGTCTACATCTTTCACATCTGTATGGGATGAGGTCTTATGCAGAAGGATTTTACAAAAATTTATTACTTATTTCCCTGAAGATTTCTACCTTTGTAAAAACACCACTTTTGATTATAGTATGATTTAGTTCCTTGTAAAATGTCCCACTGAGATTGAGCTCAAGATTATAGAATATTTATGTTTGATTTGGATGCAAGATATTGTTCTAATAGCAAGAATTATGCAACACATAATATGCACAACTCCTCTCAACGCTTTCTCTTCCAAAATGCAGATGTTCAAAACCTATTTGCTGCTTAACGAGGGAGACCACTTAGCAGCTAATGTAATTTTATTCCTATTCTTCTTGTGGAATCTTCATTTTTAATCATTCTTGTTCTGTTTTGCTTTGCTTTGTTTTTGTTTTTGAGACATAGACTCACCATGTAGTTCTGGCTGGCCTCAAACTCAAACTTAAATCATCTTAATCCTTTCATTTGACAGAACAGGCATAAAGAGGTGCAAAGGCTTGGCTCAAATTGACTTGTTGATACTCAGTGATGGAACGTGTCATTCCTAGTCCCTGTCTGGGACTCTGTGCAACTTGCAAAAGGAAAGAGCACAGGTGTGTGTGAGCCTTAATGGAAGGCTCTACAGTACACAGTAAATGATTTTAGTACTAATGCTTCTTCTAGAATAGAAACATCACTTCAGTGGAGAAATGCATACTTGTTAAGTAACCCAAGTGGCCATGATGCAACTAGGGGCCAAAAGAATACAAAAGCAAGAAGGTACTGGTAGGTACTTGTAGTTATTACCTCTTTAACCAACTTTTCCTACACCCACATTTATTTTAAAGTATTCTGCTCAAATTAAGGAGTTGAGAGCCTAGTAGAATTATATAATGTGATACCTTTTCAAAAATTTATTTTACTTCCCCTTCTCCCATCAAATGAATAGCTAAAACATATAGAATTAAGCATAGAGAAGTAAACATGAAATATTAAAAACAAATACTCTGTTCTACAAAAATAGTGCTAAAAGTGTAATTCTTTATGAGAATTAACGGAAGGTGCAGGAGCTACTCATTGAGAGAAGAAAGGTTAAGGATTCAGTGTACTATACAATGAAAGGAAAAATAACCACTATTTTGATACATGGCTTGAAAAACACATTAAGTAAGTACCTAGGTGTTATAGTCAGACCAGACTTTGGAAGTTTCATTTCCAAAAAGACCAGTTGCAGAAGGAGTAGGTAATGAGCAAGAAAAGATTCAGCAGACTCATTTACATTCCAAAAGAATCACTGTATCTCCAATATTCTTCCAGTCTCAGTCCCCAGTTCAAAATGTTATTGATAGGAAGTGAGCTGAGCTAGATCTGAGGGACTTCGAAGTGAAGGAAAGAAGATTGTCTTCACAAAATTATGCTGTGAAATCATCATATAAATGATCAAAACAGAAACAGTGAATGTCAGTTCTGTCCTTAGAAGGACTTTGGAACCTTGGTGTACATGGCACACGTGACAGATGTGGTATTAACCTAACTCACTGTATTAATTTATCTGAAGAAAGGAAGACTGGGCTAATTGAAAGATGGCAGCCTAGAAAAAGGAGCATCCTGAGCCACGCTGCCCCTGCACTGTCTAGGAAAAGGGAGTGCTAATCTGCTGATTTCCAGACTGCCAGTACTCTGTTAGCCTTAAGGAGAGTATCTTTGTGGAGGATGGATGTGTCAGGATGCTTCAGACTGATGCTATTAACATGAAAACCATTTAAATTTCCTGGTCTCAGTCTCACCAAGCAAGCTTCTGATTATTATCTGCCTCTCATGTAGACTTAATTACAGGGAAGAGAATACATTGGTTATAAGGATGAATATTTTAAATATTATAATTTATTTCATTCTATAGATATAGAAGTAGCCATTTGGCCACAATTTACTACCTCAAATAGTTACCTCCAAGGGGATAATTTGCTCATAATTGCTAGCTTTCAGTGTAAGAACAGGATGATCACTTCATTGTGTGTTTACTGTGGCCCTAATAGTAAATGTTTTACATTAA